AATCAGGTCACATGAACAGATTGAAGGGTAGTATATGTGGAGGATTTTATTGGTCAATGAAAGTGGCTCTCAGCAGGATGCGGAGTTGGAAAGGGGATTGTGTGGGAAGAAGGTGATGTTTCCCTGAAGCCCAGCTCTCTCTGGCTGGGCCCCTCTCCAAAGCTGCACATCTGAAATTAGCTGCATCTATCCATAGTCTCTGATGCTCAGTTTCTTCTCTGCTTGCCAGTCAGCTGCTTGTATCCACAATGCTCAGCCCTTGTATCCCTATTGCTCAGCCGCTTGTATCCCTAACACTCAGCTGCTTGTGTTGCTCTGCCAGCTGAAGTGTTTTTTTTTTCAGGGCGGTGGAGGTGTGGGGGCTAAGGATGTGGCAGGACAAAAAGTCAACATTTGGGCAGAAAACCAGGTCAGCTGTTTTCACTTAGTGCTGTGGTTCCAGGCTTAAGGGTGGGGTTTAGCCAGAACCCAGCCCTTCTGTATCAATGTAGGGGTGAGCCATGATGGGACTGGTGGCTTTATAAGAAGATAAAGAGAGACCTGAGCTGCCATGCTTTTGACCTCTTCCCACGTGTGATACCCTCTGCCATAGTAGTAAGAAGGCCCTCAGCAGGTACGGCCCCTCAACCTTGGACTTTGCAGCTTCCAAAACTGTGAGCTAAATACTCAGTCTCAGGTATTCAGTTACAGTAAAAGAAAATGAGGCTGGGCGCGGTGGCTCACGCCTGTAATCCCAGCACTTTGGGAGGCCAGGGCGGGCAGATCACAAGATCAGGAGATCGAGACCATCCTGGCTAACATGGTAAAACCCCGTCTCTACTAAAAATACAAAAAAGAAAAAATTAGCTGGGCATGGTGGTGGGTGCGTTTAGTCCCAGCTACTTGGGATGCTGAGGCAGGAGAATGGCTTGAACCCGAGATTGTGCCACTGCACTCTAGCCTGGGTGACAGAGCGAGCGAGACTCTGTCTCAAAAAAAAAAAAAAAAAGGGACAACGACAACAAGCAACTTTTGTTTTTGTATTTCTTTTTTCTTTTTCTTTCTTTCTTTTTTTTTTTTTTTGAGATGGAGTTTCGCTCTTGTTGCCCAGGCTGAAGTGCAATGGTGTGATCTTGGCTCACTGCAACTTCCACCTCCCGGGTTCAAGCGATTCTCCTGCCTCAGCCTCCCAAGTAGCTGGGATTACAGGCATGTGCCACCACGCCCGACTAATTTTTTGTATTTTTAGTAGAGATGGGGTTTCTCCATGTTGGTCAGGCTGGTCTCAAACTCCGAACCTCAGGTGATCTGCTCACCTCGGCCTCTCAAAGTGCTGGGATTACAGGTGTGAGCCACCACGCCTGGCCTTTCTTTTTTGGTATAATCCAAAATACCTAAATCCAGTTTAAGCATCCACAACTATACATGTTTAAATACAAAATTAATTTGAGATAGGGGTGTGTGTCTAGGGGTGGTGGGGGAATGTGAGAGGTAGTATAGAATGAAAAATAAGTTCCAGTTATTAGTATCTCTTGAGTGGGACAGTTGGGACATCTGTCCTGGAAGGGCCGTGGGGATGGGTTTTCATAAAGAATGAACCATGGGATGTCCACAGAAAATGAATTTTGCGTCAGGCTTGAGGGAAAACTCATTTGAAGCCTTGAATGCTCCTCTAGAGTATCAAAATGAAGGAAGAAACTTGTAAGTAAAACTTATTTTTGTCTTTTGAAAGGCTTAATGAGTGGCCCTGTGTGATGGCTCATACCTGTAATCCCAGCACTTGGGGAGGCAGAGTCAGGAATATTGCCTGATCCCAGGAATTCAAGACCAGCCTGAGCAACACAGGGAGACCCTGCCTCATAAAGGCTTAACAAGTTTAAGTTACGGAATGAAAAAAATTTCAATTAATTCAATGGTAGGCTGTCATGAAAACAAAACAGATTTCAATTAAGCAAGAAAGGGATGTGAAATTGAGAGGCAAACAAAAAGGAAAAGGGGCTAGTTAGTACAGCAGTCACTGGTTTATCTGTATAGAGAGGGAAAACTATTTTTCTCTCAACCCTCATTGGTTCTTTTCTTTTTTATTTAAATTGAGACAGGGTCTTGCTATGTTGTCCAGGCTGGTCTCATACCCCTAGGCTCAAGCATTCCTCCTGCCTTGGCCTCCCAAATTGCTGAGATTACAGGCATGAGCTACTGTGCCTGGTCGCCTGATAAATTCTTAATTGGAATAGATTCCTGTAACAAAGGACAAATTAACAGGAGAAGAACAAGGTTATTTCCTGGAGCAGAGCATGGAAGATGTGGGTGTTCAGTGAACTTCCCGAGTGGCCAAAATGGTTGTATGAATAAGTTCTTTTAGTTTATATCAAGTCATACAGCTTCAGCTTGTAGGGCTTTGGGACAAGAGAAGCTAGAGTCTCAATAAAGATCCCGGCAGTCAGGTTTTAGTTCCTAGTGATTTCAGGTCAGGAGGGTGGGAGAAAAATTGGAAACATTAATTACTGACAAGATATGCAAGACAGCAGGATCCTGTTTACAGAGTGGTGAAAAATAACTCAGAGACAAACAACAGAACTACAGTCTGATAACCCAGACTGGTTGTAGTTTTCTATTGAAATGTAAAATTTCTGGCCTGATGTGGTGGCTAATGCCTATAATCCCAGCACTCTGGGAGGCTGAGGCGGGTGGATCACTTGAGGTTAGGAGTTAAAGACCAGCCTGGCCAACATGGCGAAAACCCCTCTCTACAAAAATACAAAAATTAGCTGGGCATGATGGCAGGTGCCTGTAATCCTAGCTACTCAAGAGGCTGAGGCAAGAGAATTGCTTGAACCTGGGAGGTGGAGGTTGCAGTGAGCCGACCGAGATCACACTGCTGCACTCCAGCCTGGGTGACAGAACAAGACTCTGTTTCAAAAAAAAAAGGTAAAATTTCTCTGTATAGTCATCCTTGGTTTGATCAAAGATAAAAGTAAGACTACTCTTGTTTACAGAACAAGTGTAATCTTATTAAATTTGGTCTAATTATTTATATAAGTGCAGCAAGAATGATAATTGAACATATGCTTGATCTTAGGTTATTGTTTTGTTTTTGTTTTTTTGAGACAGAGTCTCACTCTGTTGCCCAGGCTAGAGTGCAGTGGAGCTATCTCAGCTTACTGCAACTTCCTCCTCCAGGGTTCAAGCGATTCTCCCACCTCAGCCTAAGTAGCTGGGATTATAGGTGCGTGCCACCACGTGTGGCTAATTTTTTGTATTTTAGTAGAGATGGGGTTTCACCGTGTTGCCCAGGCTGGTCTTAAACTCCTGAGCTTAGGGGGATTCGCCGACCTTGGCCTCCCAAAGTACTGAGACACCATGCCCAGCCCAGCCCAGTTTTTTTTTTTTTTTTTTTTAAATTTTCATTCGCATTTTAGATGAGGGTTATCAGTTTGGATGCACCTATTAGCTTCTCTAGTAGGGTTCTGGAAATTCCTACTCAGTCCAGTGGTATGATTTCAAAGTTATGTAAGCAATGTGATGAGAAATCCATACCCTAGAGTACCTATATAATTCTTTCCATGGGTCTCTGAGGCAGTCACTTATGTTGATTATGAAGCATTCCGGCTTGTAGCTGATTGTGAGCTTTCAGGGAAGCATTTGAATATAAGAGTAATTATATGTAAATGACAAAAGACCTACAATGGCCATGGTTAAAGATTTTATTAGAGTTCATTATCAAAATAATGGAGTTGACAAAGAAATTTGGTTGTTTCTGTGCCATACAACATTTTAAGATAAAAACTGGAATTATGATTGATAACATTATATCAGAATATATTATGGACAGTGAGTGCGTTGACAAATTTCTAGAAACTTCATGTAGTTGTTTTAAAAAGCAGACAGGGTCTTGCCTTATTGTCCAGGATGGTCTTGAACTCCTGGGCTCAAGCGATCCTCCCGCCTTGGCTCCCAAAGTGCTGGGGTTTTAGGTGTGAGCCACCAGACCTGGCCTTCCATACAGTGTTTGGAGTACTTATATTAATAACATTTTCTCATATAGATACGAACCCAAAATATAAGACGGGGTCTTAGTCAATTTGGAAAGTTTATTTTGCCAGGGTTAAGGACCCGCCTATGACATAATCTCAGGAGGTCCTGATGACATATGCCCAGGGTAGTCTGAGTGTAGCTTGCTTTTATACAATTTAGGGAGACATATCAGTCAATATATGTAAGATTTACGTTGGTTTCATCTGGAAGGGTGGGACAACTCGAAGTGGGGGCTTCCAGGTCATATGTAGATTTAAACATACTCAGATTGGCAATGGTTGAAAGATGTATTGTCAAAGAAAGGAATGTCTGAGTTAACATAAGGTGTTGTAGACACCAAGGCTTCATCCTGCAGATGAAGGAAGCCTCCCGGTAGCAGACTTTATAGAAAATAGATTTTAAATGTTTCTTATCAGACTTATAGTCTGCATTAATGTTAGTGCTGGAGGGGTATGATAATTACCCCCACTTCCCCTTCATGGCCTGAACCAGTCTTTCTGGTTAAATTTTAGAGTGAGTGCCCCGGGCAATGAGGGAGTGCATTCAAATGGTTGTGAGAGCCTTTAAATTTTCCCCCTTTTGACCAAGATTTGCCAGAGACAACATCAGTGGCTACCAGATTTTAATTTTGTCCCACAGTGTTGCCGGGATGGCATGGCTGCCTGCCCCTGGTCTATCCTGTCCTTCCCTATGACTGAGAAACTTAGAGTGAACAAGACTTATGGCCAATTAATTATTCTAAGCCAGATAGGAATAGACATGGACAGGCATTCATTACCCTTTAAAATTATTATTAATTTTGTTTTTTAAGTAGAAGGTCAATAAACAAAAAGCCAAAGGTGAGGTTACAAAACCGACTTATTTTTAACTTCTATACTATGCATTGAGCCATAGCTCAATCTTGTTTTTAGTTTTAGTATGTAATCTTGGTTTTAGTTACAGACTTATAGCAATTAGCTATACAAAACAAGCGTTGTTCTGAAAAAATTTAAAAAAATATGTATATCTGTACAACTCATACCCAGGAGGCTTTGTCGTAAGGTATCGTTATCCTGTCAGTAATTATTTTCTTCTTTTACCAGCTGTTCAGGCATCTTTGTACATATCCTTGATTTGGAGGGTCTGACCTTGACCTAATTGTATCCCTCAAAACTTGCCCTTACACTCTCATGTAACAGTCCCTGGGCCTAGAGGGAGGGTGCTTATATGGTCTTAGTAGTAAGGCATTTGCAGTGAAAAACAGATTGGGCTCAGTGGGATTGTTACAGGTGGTTAGACATGAGCTGGGCAGCAGAGAGAGCTCTCCTCTAACAACTAGAATGTCGGGTAGATGGTTCAGCAATTATCGCATTGCCTGTCTAAAAATGATAATTCGGCAGCACCAGGGAGAGGCTGATGGTCCTGATGGTCCACACCTGTTAACATCATCAAAATGTTAATTGAATGCAGGCCCCACGGAGGAGCAACTTCCTGGGCATGCATGTTGAGACCAAAAAAAAAAAAAAATTGGTGAGGTATGATCTTCCGGGGGGCACACTTCACCGGAAAAGGGAAGGAAGCCTCAGATGGGTGTGCTTATAACTCCCTAAATACATTGCGTGTGTTCATTTCCAAAGGATAAGGAAAGCACTGGGCAAGTGGAAAGCCCGCTCTAAAGGAAGAAACATGGGAAAGAGGCGAGCTTATAAAATTCCTAGGATCACGGTTGAACAGGGCACTTGACCTTTTCTCTTTAACCTTCATGTGCCCACTTGGGTCTCTTCCAAGCACACTTGCTTTCCTGTTCTAAGACCTTTTCAAATAAACTTCCATTCCTGCTCTGGAACTTGCCTTGGTCTCTTTTTCTGCTTTATGCCCCTCAGTCAGATTCTTTCTTGTGAAGAAGCAAGGACTCAAGTTGCTGTGGACCTGTACAGATTTGCCGCCGGTAACTTGGATCTCTTCCACTGGTTAACAGGATGCCAAATAAGAGAGGTTGGCATCTCTGGTTTTGAGAATACCATAATTTTGGTTTCCTTTTAAGTAATGAGAAATAAATAACATTAATATTGTGACAATCAAAAGAGTATTTGTATGTCAGAACAGAAAAGGGAACCTCTTTCATTAGGGCACCAACTAAAGATATGAAGAAAAATTATAATCTGGTACTCTCTAGAGGATTATTGTGTCCAAGAAATAATTCATAATTCAGTCTACACTCAAAAAAACAAAAGTTAGTGTCAAGTGTTATACTTTTCCTTTGAAGCAGTTTCTCTCTCTAGACTTCCTTTTCTATTAAAGAGAAATTATAGTAAGATCAATTTGTATGCAAATTAAGTTTTAGGCTTATTATACTTTGCCTGATTATTCACATAAAGTGCGGCAAGAATTGATTGGCTTGGCCGGGCGCGGTGGCTCAAGCCTGTAATCCCAGCACTTTGGGAGGCTGAAGAGGGCAGATCACAAGGTCAGGAGATCGAGACCACCCTGGCTAACACGGTGAAACCACGTCTCTACTAAAAATACAAAAAAAAAAAATTAGCCGGGCGTGGTGGTGGGCGCCTGTGGTCCCAGCTACTCAGGAGGCTGAGGCAGGAGAATGGCGTGAACCCGGGAGGCGGAGCTTGCAGTGAGCGGAGATCGCACCACTGCATTCCAGTCTGGGTGACAGAGCGAGACTCCATCTCAAAAAAAAAAAAAAAAAAAGAATTGATTGGCTATATAGGCTCCTTTCAAGTTGACTTTGCTGAACTTTACCTAAAAGTATACTATTTTAGTCAAAGTCTTGGTAAAATAACCAGTGTCTCCAATTGTTTTGTTCTAAAAGACTCTTACTGAACTTATGCAAATAACTATATTTTCATAAAATCACAATTTGAATTTTGGATAATTCAGAGAGAAAGGTAAATTTGCTTACAAAAACATATTTCACCCAAATGGTCTAAACTATAAATAACTATAAAAAATTTTTTTGGACCGTTCTTTAACCAGAGCAGCAGCCTTCCAAACAAGATGTTTGTTCAACTCAGAACTGCCATTCACAAGCCAAACAGGTCATGGGAACTATCAGGTACTGTAGAATCTAGCAGCTCCTCAGATAGCTAGAATCAGTACTAGGGACAAAAAGAGTGTCCTTGTTTGTGAGTATCTCCTTCTTGTATTCCGAGGTAGCAAGAGCCTGTGTAAACCATTTTAATTTTATCATGGAAATCTTTTGAACACCTTTATTTCTATTAGCATAGGGGTAGCTCCAGCCAACATTCCATAACAAGGCAGTAAATGTCCCTCAAGTAGAAATTCTCTAGTCCAGCAGTTGTTATTGGGAAGTACTCACAGTTTTTTGTCATAAGTCCCAATAAATGCTCCACAAAAGGCTACAAAGTGGAGGATTTGTCCTGTCTAGCACTCCAGCTTCTCCCCTATATTTTGTGGGCTAAGGCAATCTTTCTAGTTCCCATTTAGTAAGTTCAGTTAATATTTGTCAATAAGCAGATTTACCTGCCTTCAGTTTTATAGTACTAGATAGGGAAAACATCCCCCAGTCACACACAGTACCCATTTTCAGAAGACATTTAGGTAAAAGGAGTCACAACTACCTTACATAAAGTCTATTTAAACATCTCAGATTTCTTAATTCTGTAAACCTGTATGTTTTTATGTTCTGGTCCCGGGAACTTTTCTACCCCCAGATCATTTTACCTTTTCTGGTTAAAAAAAAAAAAAAAAGGGGGGGGTGTGGTTTGGGTTCCCAGCAGGGAGTTGAGCCAAGGGACTCAGGCCTTTTTGTCAAATTTTTATCTTAATTTGCCTCAGCATTGCCCCAGACAATGTCAGCTTTCTCATGATAACCTTTGCCTTCTGATTTTTTAAAAAACATTTTCCAATCTAGGGCAAATAGTGAATAAGCATCCAAAAATTTCTATCACTTTTCTGGGGTGAATTCTTTGACTCCCTTTTTCCTTTCCCATTTTTTTTTTTTTGTTAATGACCCCCATTTTTTTTTTTTTTTTTTGAGATGGCGTCTCACCCAGGCTGGAGTGTGGTGGCGTGATCTCTGCTCACTGCAACCTCTGACTCCCGGGTTCAAGCGATACTCCTGCCTCAGCCTCTTGAGTAGCTGGGATTACAGGCACTCGCCACCATGCCTGGCTAATTTTTGTATTTTTAGTAGAGACGGGGTTTCTCCATGTTGGCCAGGCTGGTCTTGAGCTCCTGACCTTAGGTGATCCACCTGCCTCAGCCTCGCAAAGTGCTGGGATTACAGGCATAAGCCACCTTGCCTGGCCATGAGGTGTAAGCATGCGTAAGACCATGAGGGACAGCAAATTTGATAAGGCCTCTCAAGCAGTCATATGATTCTGTGGGAGGGGTACCCATGTAAAAGGGGCCCTGTTAACCTCCAGATATAACATGACCTGCGTTATGGACATATTAGGTAGGAGAATATTCCGGTCATTATAAAGCCAGTCCTATGTGGCTTGCATATGAAGCATATCAACTGTTTCATCTGTGGTGCTCCACTTGGTATTTTATAGGGGGAGGCAGGAAGTCCCCTTCTCGGGGCAAACCTTACAGTGGCATTTATTTGGTCCACTAGGCTGGTTGTTCTCTCAGGAATAACTTCCTGTGCATTTGGATCACATACATTCATCAGTGATTGTTTAATAGTGAGCTGTGGGTCCTGCATTAATCCAAACAAGCTCTTTCATTCTGTAGCATTTAAAATTAAGGATTTTGTCCTTAAAATGGTCATTTTTACAGTCCATTATTATAAAAGTTTCTCCAGAAGCTGATGATACCAATCTATGAAACAGAACAGTTCCTTTACATTAAACCCTCTGGTTTTAATAGTTACTTGGTTTTGCCCTTCCCCAATATTGACTATCTTCTTGGTAACCACAGGCCTCAGAGGTAACTTTATTTGCCCTGGCATACTTTTTCTTTTTATCCATTTAGTTTTATTTGTACAATTTTTCCTTTATTTTAAAGTGACGCTTACATAGTCTCTTAACTAGGGGAAAACTTTTTCTTTAGCAAAAAACACATCCTTGTATGTGTTTGTTTGTTTATTTTTGAGACAGTCTTGCTCTGTCACCCAGGCTGGAGTGCAGTGGCATAATCTCGGCTCACTGCAACCTCTGTCTCTCAGGTTTAAGCAGCTGGCCTCAGCCTCCTGAGTAGCTGGGATTACAGGCATGTGCCACCATGCCCAGCTAAGTTTTGCATTTTTAGTAGAGATGGGGTTTCACCATGTTGTCCAGGCTGGTCTCGAACCCCTGACCTCAGGGGAACCACCCACCTCGGCCTCCTAAAGTGCTGGGATTACAGGCATGAGCCACCGTGCCTGGCTGTTTGTTTATTTTTGAGACAGAGTCTTTCTGTCACCCAGGCTGGAGTGCAGTGGCACTTGTGATCTGCCTGCTTCGGCCTCCCAAACTGCTGGGATGACAGGGGTGAGCCACTGTGCCTGGCCTTTTTTTTTTTAAATGAAGTCTCACTCTGTTGCCCAGGCTGAAGGGCAGTGGCGTGATCTTGGCTCATTGCAACCTCCACCTCCCAGTGGATTCTCGTGCCTCAGCCTCCCAAGTAGCTGGGATTACAGGCATACATCATCACGCTCGGCTAACTTTTGTATTTTTAGTAGAGGTGGGGTTTCACCATGTTGGCCAGGCTGGTCTTGAACTTCTGACCTCAAGTGATCTGCCCGCCTCGGCCTCCCAAAGTGCTGGGATTACAGGCAGGAGTCACTGTGTCCGGCTGTTAATTTATGAGTACTTTTTATCTTTAAGCCAATCTGGTACCTTGTGGCCAAAAACACATAACAAAGTATGTGTACATACACCTAAACACACATATATATACTCATACAAAGTTCTTGTAGTTTATGCTTCAGAACTCTAGCCATGAGATATTAATAGAGACTTACCAGTTTGCAAACAATAGCAAAAAGAGATGGTTGGATGCAAACAGTGGATTTTATCTCAGTGGAAAAGTAACAGCAGACTTAAAGCAGGCTGAAAAGAAAGCAGAGAGATAGAGAACTTAGCAACTTTATAGTTGCAGATTGACCTTCGGGCTCTGCATTTTTCTTGATGTAATTTGCTCATCAGTTTAAAATGTGCACAAGAACAGACCTCTAATGTGTAACTGGCTGCAGTATTAGAAAACGTGGCATGCTCTTCCATTACACAACCACTTTCAAGTAGAGGCGTCATAAAACCAAACAGGGTGCCTGCGAGAGGCCACTCTCCTTGTGTTTTTTCATTCCTAGGTTATTTGTTTCCCACATTTTTTCTGAAAAGGAGGAACTGAGCTGTGCCTTAAGGTTTAGTGGAGTGGGTCAAAGTGTGCTGGTTGTGGGTGGGAGTCCATAGTGTGTCACCAGTGAGTCATTTCTGCCCTTTTATGTGTCTCAGTTTCTCTTTCTAGACGTCCAGCACCACCAGGAGGGCTCAAAGTGAGGAATGAGGCGGGGTGCAGTGGCTGACACCTGTAATCCCAAACTGGGAGTCCGAGGCAGGTGGATCACTTGAGGTAGCAGTTCAAGACCAACCTGGCCAATATGGTGAAACCCCATCTCTACTAAAAATACAAAAATTAGCCCGGTATGGTGGCACGCACCTGTAATCCCAGCTATTCAGGAGGCTGGGACACAGGAGTTGCTTGAACTCGGGAGTCAGAGCTTGCAGTGGGCAGAGATCCTGCTGTTGTGCTCCAGCCTGGGCATCTCAGCAAGACTCCGTTTCAAAAAAAAAAAAAAAAAAAGCAGTGACCAGCTCCTGTATGTACGTCCTGGACAAGAATTTTTTTAAACTAATTTTCTTGGGAGTTCCCTGTAGGGCTGCTGCACGTTGTAGGGGGTCAACCCTGCAGACACTTCCACTTGGTCCCCAGTCACCCAGGGTTGCCTTTTGGTTGGAAGGAGCAAAATGCCCTTTCTTTTTGGAGTTGAGGAAACTCAGTCTGTCATCTATGAAAATGACAGTTCAGTTCCTCACACAAACGTGCACACAAGCCAATCGAGATTAATTTCAGGAGGAAAGGCAACGAGAAGACTCTTTAGAATGCACCCCTGGGCCAGGTGTGGTGGCTTATGCTTGTAATCCTAGCACTTTGGGAGGCCAAGGCAGGTGGATCACTTGAGCTCAGGAGTTCAAGACCAGCCTGGCCAACATAGCAAGACCCTGTCTCTACAAAAAGTACAAAAATTAGCTGGGTATGGTGGCACACATCTGTAGTCCCAACTACTCTGGAAGCTGAAGAGGAGGATCTCTGGAGCCTGGGAAGTTGAGGCTGCAGTGAGCCGTAATGGTGCCAGAGGACTCCAGCCTGGGTAACAGAGCAAGACTCTGTCTCAAAATAATAACAACAACAACAATAGTAATGATAATAATAATAGGAATGCACCTCTGAACTAGAATTGGGATCCTAGACAACAACTTCCTGGGAGCTCAGCTAAACCAGCTAAGACCACTTCATGTAAGCCATCTTCAGCCACTCTTAACTTTGTAGCTCTCATCTGCCATTACACATGCCAAAGCCAAATCCTCTCATGGTACAAGGTAATTTCTGGTATCTCCAAAAGTCAAAGAATCAGGTAGTGCAATACAGGAAAGCAGAACTGTAGACCTAAAAGCATCTGCCCATTACTCTTGAAAACTCCATAAAGAAAACACGACATCCCAAAAAGCGGCAAGTGGTGCCTTTGTTCTGACTTCTTTAAGGGGTTCAGGTTAATAGAAGGCTTCTCTAGATTTTTTTTTGGTAGCAAAGATGGGGAAGGGGAAGGGGAAGGAGGAGTAAGGTGGAAGAAAAGACAGGAAGCAAAGACAGAAACCACATGCATGGTTTTGTTTTGCTTTTCCTTTTTGCTGCTGCAAGGAGTTTTAGCCAATTCAGATGTCTTGTTCCCCATAATTGGAATTCTCACTCAGATCTGGCCAAGTTGGTTAGAGTTGGAGCTGGTCAAACCCGATGGGAGAAAGACCAGAACAACAAAAACCCAACAATATGATTACTGAGTACTCTAATGGCAAGGCAAAATTAAGACCAGCTGATTGTTAATTGTAACTTTAGCCAAATGAAAGCCCAATTCACCTACTTACCTAGGAATGGGTCTCAGGTGGAAGACTGCTCTCTACTATCCCAGAAGCAGGAAAAAACTCAAACTCCAGAAAGGAGTTAGCTGCTGTCACGCGCGTCCGTGTGAAGAGACCACCAAACAGGCTTTGTATGAGCAACATGGCTGTTAATTTCACCTGGGTGCAGGCGGGCTGAGTCCGAAAAGAGAATCAGCAAAGGGAGATAAGTGTGGGGCCGTTTTACAGGATTTGGGTAGGTAAAGGAAAATAACAGTCAAAAGGGGCATTGTTCTCTGGCGGGCAGGAGTGGGGGTTACAGGGTGCTCAGTGGGGAAGCTTTTTGAGCCAGGATGAGCCAGGAAGAGGAATTTCACAAGATAATATCATCGCTTAAGGCAAGGATCGGCCATTTTCACTTCTTTTGTGGTGGAATGTCTTCGGTTAAGGCGAGGCAGGGCATTTGCACTTCTTTTGTGATTCTTCAGTTACTTCAGGCCATCTGGGCATAAACGTGCAAGTCACAGGGGATGTGAAGGCTTGGCTTGGGCTCAGAGGCCTGACATTCCTGCCTTCTTATATTAATAAGAAAAATAAAACAAAATAGTGTGAAGTGTTGGGGCAGCGAAAATTTTTTGGGGGGTGGTATGGAGAGAGAATGGGCGATGTTTCTCAGGGCTTCTTCAAGCGGGATTAGGGGCGGCGTGGGAACCTAGAGTGGAAGAGATGAAACTGAAGGAAGATTTTGTGGTAGGGGCGATACTGTGGGGTCATTAGAAGAAACATTTGTCATATAGAATGCTTGGTGACGGCCTGGATGCGGTTTTGTATGAATTGAAAAACTAAATGGAAGACACAAGGTAAGAGAAGGAGAAAGAACAGGTATTGAAGGACTAAGAATTGGGAGGACCTAGGACATCCAATTAGAGAGTGCCCAAGGAGGCTCAGCATAGCCTTGCCAGCAAAGATCATTTATTTACTTTAAGAGGAAATTTAGAGTGGCGGTTTGGGATAGCACTAAGAGATACCAACTGTGATGGCTTGGAGAAACAGTGTAAACCGGCAGTGTAAACATGAGCAGGGCATTTATGAGTAGTTGAGAACGGTGAATAGGAGTAAGACTAGACAGAATACAGTAGGGATGAAAGTTTTTTGGGGTGCAGTCTAAGTTGGTCTGGTGTCTGGAATGAGACTGGGACCTAATAAAAAGGAGTGTCCACACAGGAGCTCAAATGGGCTGTAACCTGTAGCATTCCGAGGACAGGCCTGAATTCTGAGAAAGGAAAGTGGTAAAAGTATTGTCTAGTCCTTTTTAAGTTGGTGACTGAGCTTGGTGAGGTGTGTTTTTAAAAGACCATTAGTCCATTCTACCTTTCCTGAAGATTGAGGACGGTAAAGGATATAAAGGTTTCACTGAATACCAAGAGCCTGAGAAACTGCTTGGGTCATTTGACTATTAAAGGCTGGTCTGTTATCAGACTGTATAGAGGTAGGGAAGGCCAAACTGAGGAATTGTGTCTGAAATGACCACGGTGGCCTTCTCAGACCCTGTGGGAAAGGCCTCTATCCATCCAAAGTGTCTACCCAGACTAAGAGATATTTTAGTTTTCTGACTCAGGGTATGTGAGTAAAGTCAATTTGCCAGTCCTGGGCAGGGGCAAATCCTTGAGCTTGATGTGTAGGAAAGGGAGGGGGCCTGAACAATCCCTGAGGGGCAGTAGAATAGCAGATGGAACACTGAGAAGAGATCTCCTTGAGGATAGATTTCTAGGATGGAAAAGAAATGAGAGGTTCTAAGAGGCAGGCTAGCGGCTTGTAACCTACATGGAAGAGGTTATGAAATGACGACAGAACAGAATGGGCCTGTGAGGCTGGAAGGAGATAATTTCATTGGTCTAAGAACTATTTGCCTTGTGTGTGAAGAGATTGATAGGTGGAAGTTTCAGCGGGGAGTAGGTGGGAGTGGCCGATGTGGAGATTGATAGGTGGAAGTTTCAGCAGGGAGTAGGTGGGAGTGGCCGATGTGAAGGAGGAAAACTGCCCTGAGGGATAGAAGTTGTAATGCTAGCTGCTTTTTTAGCTAACTTATCAGCATGAGCATTGTCCTGAGCGATGGGATCTGATGCCTTTTGATGGCTGCTTTTTTAGCTACCTAATCAGCATAAGCGTTGTCTTGAGCAAAGGTTGGGGAAAGAAAAATAGATTTTGGAAGTTATGAGAACTGTAGAGGGGAGTTTTAAGAGGTTTAGAAGCCTGGCCGTCAATACCCACATTTATGGAGAGGCAAGGGAAACAGGCCCTTGAAAAGAAGGTGATGTGGCGTGGGTAGCCTCTGTATTGATTAAGAAGGGGACGGACTTACCCCTCACTGTAAGAGTTACCCAAAGTGTCTGTGATGGTCCAGGAGGCTTCTGAGGTGATGGGGCAGCGTCAATCTTCAGCTGCTAAGCTGAGAAGATCTGGGAAGGAGTCAGAGAGCCTTGGGCCAGAGTTCCAGGGGCTCTGGGAGCGGCTGCTGGGCGAGTTGGACAGTCCGATTTCCAGTGGGGTCCCTCTCAGATGGGAAGCGGCTTAGGAGGAATCCCGGGCTGCCGGCATTCCTTGGCCCAGTGGCCAGCTTTCCGGCACTTGTAGCAAGCTCCTTGGGGAGGAGGTTCTGGAGGAACTGGCAGCTGCTTGGAGTTGTGTGCTGGAGATGTGGGTGGGGTTTGTCTCACAGTGGAGGCAAGGAATTGCAACTCAGAAATAAGTTGCTACCTGGCTGCCTCTATTATTGTACACCTTGAAGGCGAGGTTCATTAAGTCCTGTTATGGGGTTTGAGGGCCGGAATTTAATTTTTGGAGCTTTATTTAATGTTGGTAGCAGATTGGGTAATAAAATAAAATGTATATTAAGAATAAGATGGCCTTCTGACCTTTCAGGGTCTGGGGCTGAAAAGCGTCTCAGGATTGCTGCTAAATAGGCCATGAACTGTGCTAAGTTTTTTATATTTGATGAAAAAGAACCTAAACGCTAACTGATTTGGAAGAGGTCAGATAAAGAAAAAGGAACATTAACCTTGACTATGCCTTTAGCTCTAGCCACTTTTTTAAGAGGAAATTTCTGGGCAGGTAGGGGAGGGCTAGTCGTGGAACGAAACTGTAAGCCAGACCGGGTGTGAGGAGGGGAGGTGATAAAAGGACTATATGGTGGGGGAGCAGAGGCTGAGGAAAAATTGGGACCTAGCTCGGCCTGGCGAGGAAGGGAGAGGTCAGATGGGTCTGTAGAAAGGAAGATTGGAAGGACTCAGCGTCACTTGGGATTGGGGCTGAGGGGACAGGCGGGAGGGAAAGAAGGAAGATTTCGGACAAGTTGCATTGGGAACAGAGACTAGGGAGGGACTGATGTGTAAAAGAATGCCTGGACGTCAGGCACCTCAGACTGTTTGCCCACTTTACGACAAGAATTATTTAGCTCTTGTAGGATGGAAAAAAATAAAAAGTGCTGTTTTCTGGCTATTTGGAACTACTGTCGAGTTTGTATTGGGGTTAAGCGGTATTATAGAAGAAAATAAAGCATTTAGGTTTTAGGTCAGGTGTGAGTTGAAGAGGTTTTAGGTTCTTGAGAACACAGGCTAAGGGAGAAGGAGGAATGGAGGGTAGAAGGTTGCCCGTAATGAAGGAGGCAAGCCCAGAGAAAAGAGAGAGTAGAGATCTGGAGAGAAGGAGTTCGGGGGTTCTTGCCCTCCAGAAAAGCGGGAAAAGGGTCGGGGTGCGGAACTAAGGTATTGGGGTGCAAAAATAAGATATTGGGACACAAAAATAAGAGGGGGTGCAAAAATAAGGTCAGGGCGCAAAAATAAGAGGTCGGGGTTCTTGCCCCTACCCCAGAAAAGCAGAGAAGGGGTAGAGACAGGGAGGGTTGGGGTTGGGGTGCTTGCCCCTCCCCCAGAAAAGCGGGCCTTGCCACTTAGGGTGAAGGAACAAGGCAGGCGTCCCCGCAGCGTGGTCAGACACCCCTGAAATGTGGGTGAGTAATCAGAGAGGCATCCCTGCAATGATTAAACACCAAGGGAAGGCTGCCTTCCCCAGTCCGTGACTGGCGTCGGCGTTTTGGGTTCCACGGATAAAACGTGTCTCCTTTGTCTCTACCAGAAAATGAAAGGAATTGAAATTAAAGAAGGGAGAGATTGAAGGGTGGTGCCAAGATTGAAAGGAGAAAGAGGTTGAGAAATAGTGAGAGAGGTTGGAGAAGAGAGTAAAAATGGGGCCGCTTACCCGATTTAAAATTGGTGAGATGTTCCTTGGGCTGGTTGGTCTGAGGACCAGAGGTCATAGGTGGATCTTTCTCACAGAGCAAAGAGCAGGAGGACAGGGGATTGATCTCCCAAGGGAGGTCCCCTGATCCGAGTCATGGCACCAAAATGTCATACGCGTCCATGTGAAGAGACCACCAGATAGGCTTTGTGTGAGCAACATGGCTGTTTATTTCACCTGGGTGCAGGCGGGCTGAGTCCAAAAAGAGAGTCAGCAAAGGAGATAAGTGTGGGGCCATTTTATAGGATTTGGGTAGGTAAAGGAAAATTACAGTCAAAAGGGGCGTTGTTCTCTAGCAGGCAGGAGTGGGGGTTACATGGTGCTCAGTGGGGAAGCTTTTTGAGCCAGGATGAGCCAGGAAGAGGAATTTCACAAGATAATATCATTGCTTAAGGCAAGGACCGGCCATTTTCACTTCTTTTGTGGTGGAATGTCTTCAGTTAAGGCGAGGCAGAGCATTTGCACTTCTTTTGTGATTCTTCAGTTACTTCAGGCCATCTGGGCATATACACGCAAGTCACAGGGAATGCAATGGCTTGGCTTAGGCTCAGAGGCCTGACAGCTAACTGCCTTGCATCATTATGGAAGCAGGAGAACTTGCCTTCCTTGTTGGAGCAAGTAAAATTTCAGAAAAAGGAGTTGTATAACAAAATAAACTTTAGATCTTGACCAAATTTTGGAAGATCAGGGATTCTCTGGTGTGGGGCCTCCCAGGCCTCAGCCAATTATCCTCTTGGTTTGAGCAGTAAAGATAGCTCAAGCTGGTACCAAGCACAAATAGGCGATTTGTCAAAGGTCAGGGGCACTTCCACTCAGAAGCCCTTTCAGGTTGCCAAATGTGAACCCAAGATATCTGAGACAGGTTTCAGTGAATTTAGAAAGTTTATTTTGCCGGGGTTAAGGACGC